AATTGTTTGCATATATTGAAGCTTTGTAAGCTTAGAAACACGTTGCCAAAAGTATTGGTGGCCTCAAACCAGCATTGCGAAGAAAAAAATTTACTTTACCGAACAGTGGGGCTCAATTTTGACACGTAAAAAAAATCTTTAAACGAAAGCCAACCTTTGTCTTTTTCTCTCGCTCGGCAGTACGTGTCATACCGTAAGTATTTGGATATCGCGTTATCGATTGCGTGAAGGTATGTAATTTTGGTGCATAATTGGGATGGAAATCATCGTGTCTCGTATTCACGTATACAGACACCGTAAGCGAGTGAAAGTAACTTTCGTTTGATTGATTAAATGTGCACGATCGTCTCATACTTTGAACATCTCGCAATTGACCTGTTTTACGCCTACAAATTAATATAGTCGAGTCAATAATAATATTACATTATATTCCAGATTTCACATAAACCTAAGATTTTACATAAATTATTCCGTATTTTGATCAATGAATCGAAACCTCCAACTATCCCTTCTATAATAAAAAAAACTTTTTCGACATCTTTGTTTTTTTTTGCATGCCAAGTAAAGATTAAAATTGTTCCAAAGCTTTCATTGTATTGATTGAATGTATAAAAAATCAGAACTTCATTAATAATTTTTTCGTTCAGCGTCAGAATTGAATGCTAATGGATTTTGTGATTGAACTTTGGTAATCAATTTACTCACAACGAAAGCTATCCGTGAACGTAAAAATAGTGTAGCGAAGGGGAATTTCAGGAATGTAAATTATTTTTCCCTCTTGCTCCATGGTAGTTCTTGAATTTGGATCAACTTAAGTGATCGATTTGCCATTATCAGGAAGTAAGGGATGATCAAGATTCTTTTTTCTTTTTTTTTTTTTAATCTAATTTCTTAGCACTTAATAAATAAGTTGAACTTTTTGCCCAATAATAATTTGTGCTCAATTAATTTAATATCTGTAAAAAATAATGTAACAAGGAAATCTAGAACGTATTCTGTAACAGTTTCCTATAAAACAAGCTCATCAAATTACTATTACAATGACGTTTATCAAATTTTCAAAAAATTTTTAGTCATAATGCTCACAGTGTAATGTAATATATTTTATGGATACTCCCTCTTCGATTTAAAGCTTATTTGTTTTGATGAAATAATAATGTAGAAGTTAGATTATTTTTACTCGAATCTAATTAAAAATCTTATCAATCTGGTAATTGTGTAAGTTCACCTCACATGTGCTGAAAAATATTGTCACATCTTTAAAAATTCTTGTATTTTCTCACGCTTTGGGATTCATTAAACTTAACTAGAAAATAATTTGTAGTCCATTAGGCCATTCCTTGTAAACTTTACTGTGAAAATAGCAAATTTCGTCTGAGATTACATTTTCGTCTTCATAATTAGTTTTACTAATTGGTACTCTGAAGAACACGAAGGGAAAGGAAAAGGGCTTGTGCGTGAAGTGTCATTCAGGAATGCTTCAGTAGAGGAGAGATTACTAATGTTGTTCAACTTAGTCTTTGTAGTTCCCCCAAAGTTTACGGGGGAAATAACCAAGGGTGATTAATGCGCCTTGACGGCCCGCACGTGCAGCCCTGCTGAGTTATAGAGTATCGTAGTAACGTACACAGGCATTTATTTCATTCGTGGATATTTATACCGAAATCCATACGGAACATATGCACACGCTCAGGTTTAATAGGTAAATTAGTCGCAATTAGAACTGATTACTTGTTACAAAGTGCGAATCAAGTGGTGCGGGTTGAGCTCTGTGATATTATATCGCACCTCATCTCTGACATACACGTAACGTACGCACATGCATCTACTCTAATAATTGTTTGTCAATATAAATCTTTGAATAGAAGATAACTACTTGCATTGATATACGTTTCTATTTTTCACATTCATTGTTATACAATACAATTTTTGTTAATTATTTATTTACTTCTGAAAATTACAGTATGCAATGTGCCGTATCAGGTATGTGTTAAGTAACGTTTAGATTTTTATATAAATTGATTGATTAGTAAGTTATAAAACCATTGAAAATCTATAAGTATGAATACTATTTAATGTAAAAATTTTTATAGGTCATACACCATGAGGTTAGATAAAGTACTACTCTACGTAAATCCGTTGGTATAACACTTTAACACAACTTGTTTGAAAAAAGATCATTCTTTTGTTCGGTTTTAAACTTTAGTCGATTCGCTCGGGCGATTTAACACCAACTTTCACGATCGATGGCATCAAAGCGATATCGCTCCAAGTTTCTAATGGATGGTGCGAGTATTTGCTGTCTTTAGGAGCGAATCCTGTGGAAAAACAGCGTGATAGTATTTTGCAGCTGAACGTACGTAAGTATGTTGTATTTAAGGCTGGATGATTTGATTTGCTTGTTCGATCATGTTCTAGAGAATATGACACATGTATAGATGTATCGATGATAGCATCGGAGTATTTCACCTCACTGCAATTGATCTAGCGAAATTTAGTAGTATCAACAATAGGAAAATCCTTACAGTTGTGGTCCTGGCTATATTATTTTCACACCTGGGCTGATTAGTATTGGTAGAAATATGGCAATGGCACAACACTTGTAGCACCGAAATATCAATACGTCATCCCGTACTGAAATAATTGGTACGTAATACGTACGTAATACGTACGTAAATTCGAGAAAATAAATTACTACCTATTATTTATCAGTGGGGAAAAGTCAGATGGACCTCCACCTATAAAGATTATTATTTTTTACCGTTATTGATAAGGTAGCTTGAAAATGAATAGGTGCTGGACCATCTCTCAGATCTACAAAGAAATCTGAATATAAATCGGCATAATAAGTCACTGTCAGAAATCCGTATAGTAATATCGGTTGCTATTGTTAGTTTTGGATGACTTTCAGAAAGTCATGATAACTGTTACAAAGTATCATTTCATACGTTACCATTTTATCGTAATAAATCACTTGAAAAATATTATCTTGAATAAAAGTAATAAAAGATGAGCCATTGTAAACGTAATAGAAAGTGAAGAGTGTGCATCTCTTAATCAAATGATTTTTGCAGATGTGTGTTATAATTATATTAAAGTTTGATGCAAATATAGGGAAAAAAGTATAGCAAATATAAAAATGCCTTTCAATAAATCTTACGTTTTGTTCGATTGACATTAAATTATTAAGTTTATTATTTAGTTAATTAAGAAAATTATTAGCATGGACAAAAATTTTTAATAGAACCTCATCGCGTGAAAACGTCAAATGATATGGTATTATGAATCATTAAAAAATACAATCAAGCTTTGTTAACTTTTTTAAAGTTAAATCCAAGTTGTTTTATTACCAAAGATTTAGTCACACATTAAGATACATTGGACCATGTACATTTGTTTTCCCAACTTTTAGTTTTATAAATCAACGGCTTACACAGTTATATGGAAATATAAATATTTTATACTTTTACAAAACATTTTACAATTGTACATTCGACAGAATTAATGTTAGCCGATTTTTTCCGTGGTATTTCATTAACATATAAGTTATAAGTGTATCGAAGCATATTTTAAATGTAAATATTAAAATGCGAAAATAGTAATGAAGAAATGTAGAAGCACAACAGTAAATTCAAGACGAAGGCAAAGTATCGTTGATTGCGTTAATGAATAATGTCGCTTATGAAATTTTCTTACCGATGCATTGTTTGTTTATAATAACTTATCGTAAAGTATGAAAATTTGATTTTCTAAAATCACGCGTATTAACATTAGCCTTAACATTAATTTCAAAATACTGTCACCTACTGTCCAACAAAATCGTTATTTTGTGTTTTATATTAATAATTTTTTTTTACTATTTTAAATGTTTGATTTGTATTAATCTATCAGTATCAATATTGGTATTTAGATGTATTCACGATCCTCGTTCTTATCATTATTTTTTTCTTATGCAAAAAAAACATAAAACATAATTTTCAGTTTAAAAGGCCATGAAATTAAATTTTATGGTGATAACAAGAAACTCAAATTGTTCTTCTCTTTTTTTTACATATGCAAAAATAAAATTCATATCGATTGTTTATGCAAGCATGTATTTTTGTTTATTTTAAATAACATGTGGCTGATTCAAATAACTCATAGTATAAGAAGTATTTTAATGACATGTAGTTCTTATAGCTTAAACAACTAATTACCATTTCAGGGCAACTACTGTTTTTATACATATAACTTTAAGCATACTGTGTGAACTACTTTAAATGAAATCATAGTAAATAATTTTCTTTTCTTTACTCTCCAATTTTCTAGACAGAGTTGGATTAATTTTCAACCATAATATTAATTTCCACTAAATAAATTTTATTTATGTGCTCATATGCAACATGTTACTCAGCACTCTACGCAGCATCATTATTTATGATTAAACAGTCGTGGTTTTTGAAAAACAACAGCTTTCAGCTTTTAAAATGAGTTTTCTAGATCGAATAATTCATTGTATGAAAATAAATGAATTAAAAATGGAAAATGAACAAAACTGATCAAAGCTTTAAAATTTTTTTTCCAAAAAAAATTTAAACCAAAATAATTTTAATATTTATTGTAATACTCCGTTACTCTCGTAAAAGTTACTTTGGTTTTTCCTTTAAATCAGTACAACCGATTTCAAGACTAGGAATTATTTTTTCAAATAAAATTACGGATTAGGCTAACTAGATCACCACATTTGTTGCTTCTCTGAATAAAATGACTGTTAACTTTACACAACAAATATTGTAAGAAATTTTTATTATCTTGTACCTCGCTTTTGAAGAAAACGGATGAAACAGACTATGGAATTTCCCCTCAAACCAATGTCGCATTATCACAATCGGATTACGACAAAAACTTTTCCTACTTGCAACATCTCTTCCGCTTTTTCTTTTTGGCGCAGGCGTTGCAGCGCTGGGGCCACTCTCACAACACTATATTCTTCCTGACGCAAACTCCATTATCTATATTACCACTAGCAGCGCCGTTGCTCGTTGGAGGTACCGAAGCATCGTTGCTGCCGTGGCTGGGTGAGCCCAGGCCAGCCGAACTCGTGTTCCCTTCATCGGGAGCTTTGTCCATTTGTTCGCGCACCACCCCACCCTCGACAACGATCGCCACGCTTGAGCGATTGCTCAAACAATGGCCAGGAGCTAGGTGGTGATGGACTCCTGTCCTGTGGCATCGAATCAGGTCGCGCCAGTAGATAAGCCATCGATTTTTCTTTGACCTGTTGACAGATTGGAAAACACACGATTATCCCTCCGGGGTATTACTCTCGTATGCGCAAAATTTATCTCCAGCCAATCAACCTTGGCTCATTTGCTTGTCTAAAGTTTTTTCTTCAAGACTTTACCATTTTAAACAAAATAAGAATATTATTTCATCATTTGTTCTGTATATGTGCCGTATAAGTGACATTTGTGATAACACCACTAGGCCAAGTCATTTGTAAACAGTAAGTCAATAGATTAAAAACTATATAAAAAAAATGGTAAGTACCGAAATGAATGTAGTGGTATGTTTGAAAAGTAGTTTTACAAATGAGTAAACCCACAAAAATACTCCAGTTTTGCTCCTCGTCGTTAAATAAAAAAATTAATAAAAATTTTTTTTTGTAGGTATACCCTTAAGATGGAGTTTATTTCGCTCACAATGTCATGTACTGTGGAAAAACGGTGGAAAACTCGACTGACACTCGTTTTCATGATTTTTCCCTCATGGTAAATGGCACTGTGAGCAAAATAAGCCCCATATGGAGGGTGTGCCTAAAAAAATTTTTTTATTTCAAAATGGGGGACGAATTCGGAATGTTATTTTTGTAGATTCACTCATATACATGGAGCTCATCAGGGTACCTTTATTGTTTGATATGTGCTCTTGTCTGCTGTGCAAAATGTATAATTATTCGTACTAACGGCGAGCTTGTTGGGTAATGCCAACAAAAGCAACGCAGGTATGGAGAATAGGATTGCAGCGCAGGGTGGGTAAATCGGAAAATAGGGGTGGAAATCAATGAAGAATTTCAGGAAAATCAAATAACTGGAAATTTGGGAAAATTCTTTGAGTATTGGTGATAAAATATTTTGATGATAACGTGTTGAGTATACGGTTGTGTACTTCTTTGGTGTGCCTCATGTGTATAATTTTTAAATATTCTTTTCCTTACTATTAGTATTAAAATAAGTGGTGTAACTCAATATTGTTAAAAGAAAACTTTCAAGTGTATCAATATATTTGACTATGTCGGTAAAAATAATTTAGTCGCATAGAAACTTGAATAATAAGCTATGTGTGAGTATTTTTGGGAAATTTCCCTTACCAACCTAGATAGGATTTAGTATAAGATGGTATACAAAGAATATCGAGTGTAACGCATGGTTTACCAGGGATTATGTCATGGGGACAAAAACAATGACGCGTGGTGTTTTCCCTTCCCTTGTATAATGCGAGTGGCAGCGTTTGTTTTTGATTGAATCCCCTCTCCACCATATTCCATTTCCAACACAATTTTTTTTTTTTTTTTCCGAGTACTTGTCAACAGCTATTACATCAGAGTTGATTTATTTTCACGGGTCACCTGGCATTAAAACATTTTAGACATTTATCAAAAAAGATGGTTGTTACACGATTGATTGCACCATTATGATTCAATGATGATGACAATCCTATATAATTTATTGTTAAAAGTTTCTTACAAGTACGAGTTTGTGCATCGCTGTATAATATATCCGGCGCTGAACCACACGAGTTTAACTCTAATAATATGGGTATCGCAGTGTGTGGCGTCCCCAAGGACATTGCAGATAAAAAATAAAACAAAAACTATAAGCTGGGGCACTGCAAAAGTTGCTGCTGGAAGCCGTGTAAAATTTTCATTTTTTTCTAATGAACCAACTCGGGTTGGTAGGTGTATTAAATTATCACATGGTCTGTTTTTAAAAGCAGGACATTTGTGTTTCACTGAGCAGGCAGCCTAAAAGTGAAAATTTCCTACTCAAAGTGGGTCTGTGAATCGATTTGTGACTTTGTCGATTTAATATCGATTATAACAATTTCTCTATCGTTTGTGTCATACAGTATGAATAATCATACATGCAATATCAATGGCGTACAACATCGTGAGTTGTAAAGAATATTTTTTCGGCGATAACTAGACAAGTAACTCAATGAACGAACGCAGTATTCTATGAACTCTAGGTCTTGTCATTTTAAATTTTACAGTAGGGAAAATGTCAACACAACCGTGAAAGGACCAATTTCCTGTTGAGATACTTTTATTCAGTGATTACCAAGACGTTAAATTAGAAAATTATATGTTCCTGTCAACTGGCCAAAATTACACGCTACTAGAGCACGACTGTATCCTGTAGCACGCGTCTCTCTTGACCATCAGCCTGTGAAATTTCATTGTACAGCTAGCCCGACTCGCTTGCAATTAACTGTCCCGCATCCCTCTTACGGAATTCGGGGGAAATGGAAGGAAAGTCATAAATAATACGTCAAGGATGTGACCCGTCCTCATACAAACATTGCGCTCATTTACAATAACGAGACCACGACATTCCTACACTTTCTAATACATACATATATATATATATATATATTTCTCATTTGTTCTCAACGATTTTTTGTTATTCATAATCACTATCTCTAATTTCTTCGTTCAACGCTATTTGTATACCAATCATTTGAGACTATTTGTGCACTTGGTCTTATAGGCCTTAACTAAAACAAACAAAATTTAAGTTTATGCTAAAATAGAATTTCATTAGAATAATGGTCCTTCAAATATGTGCTACCACGATTTGTTTTTAGTGCTGCATCCAAAATCCTCATTATTTATACAAGTATAAGCTTTATTAGTTCAAATAAAAACGTAGTACAATTATTTTCGTAGTCATCCTTGTTAGAGGTTGTAAAAAATATAATCCCTTTGTTTTTTGTTACAATTTTTTTTTATACCATTCCCCATTACAAAGCTTCGTTATTTGTATAACCTTGTAGCATATAATCTCTTTACCGTAGCATCTACCAAGCTACCCGATGGTTGTTTTATTTTATTTTTTTTTTTTCTATCTGCATAATTCATCAAACGTGTGGCACAAATATCTGAAACGACAGGAAGCTTTAAGCAGGGCATTGAGAGATCTGTGGCAGCTGGGCTCACAGGTCGTATACTTTAATATCCTTATATGGATTGAAAAACCATCTCCACCAGTGGTGGGGACCTTGCCGAGCGTATTAGGTGCGTCGCTGCAGGGGAATATTCAACTGCCGAGAAAAATTTTTTTTGTAATGTAGTATACTTCCTCAGTGACGGGAGAAATTTAAGAGACTTCTCTCAGCTACGCTACTGGAATCATAATTAATTGTAATAGTATTTAAACTTTTATATGCTCTTGTAAGTATAGTGAATAATATGTGTAACGAAGGGTGACTAAGTGGTTAAGCATTAGTGCTAATGTACCATGCGCACAGGCTATGAGATTAAAAAATCTAATCTAAAGAGCAAAGTTTTTCAAAAAGTAATGTATCGAGTGACCCGAAAATTGTGTAAGGCTAATTAAATTTAAAAAAAAATTATTGTACGACTTCTGATAGAACTGAATAAACTAAGTTTGAAAAAAAGTTTTACTTTGATCACCGGCACGTAACCAAAAAATTAAAACATTGCTATGGTAAGCATCAAATGTAGGGATGAATTAAATGAGGCGGAAAAAAGATGCATAATGTAACCTTTGAATATTGTTTGGATCTTTCAACTTCAGGTTAATCAATACACTACTACAAAAAAATAACAGTTTTAGTTATCCAAAGCTGAAAAGTCGAAGGTTTTTGTCATGAAAGCATGGTCAAGTTACATACCAGTTTGAGTAGACGATGGAATATACGTGAACACAAAATGCTATTGATTCCGAGATTATTCAAAGTTTCTTCCCAGCAATCGACAGAAAGTTTCAGTCCCTGAAGTAAGCTGTACATGAGTGTTAAGTTGTATAAATAAATATGCCGTAAGTCACCTATACGGGCCAAAATTTAGAAAAAAATATTCGTAACAAAAATAATTTTTGATGAAATGGTGAAAAGAGGACATATAAAACTAAAAAAATAGAAATTAACTGTATAAAAATTAATGTAGGATTTATAGTATCATTACACTGATACTATCAGTCAGAAAAAAGCTGCTAAGGGTTTGGATGGATTTTGTATAATTAAATATACTACCTTTACAAGTTGGATTTTGTGTAATTAAATATACTACGGTTTCAAGTTGAGATTCCCTAAAAATTTGCAAAGAGTTATAATTAGTTTTATAAAATAATACCATTGACAAGTAATGCATAAAAGTTACGTTTAAAAACGGAAAAGTTGTTATATTACAATTTTATGAAAGAAAAAGTAAAATCTCATAAAATCCGACTAATGAAAAAAGCTTAAAAATGTCATGCCAAGTCGACTGTTGTAAATCTTGTATCTGTAAAATAATTAACAGACCTTAAATAGGTATACAATTTTCAATCCTTTTTTAAGGTCAATTTTTATAATAACTCTAAAAATTATATCACAAAACCTACAATCATACTTAATTATTTAAGGTACAAGGTAAATAGCCTCCTTCGGTTTTTTCTTGCAATAATATTTTAGCTTTGAAGATTAGACTTGCTGTTTAGTGAATAATTGTTTTTTTTTTTCTTAGCATTTTAAATGATTTTATTTGCTTATTAACAGTAAATCAATGAACAAATAGTAAACAACACTTTTAATTCTGTCAAGTTTAGTGTCTTTGTGCTTACTCTAATAACAGAGTTTAATGTTAAGTGAACGAGCTTCTTTTTCTTTGAATGGTATTTCAATTTCACAAGTTTATCTTAATTGTCTACTGATAGAGTCTGTTTGCTGTTTCTTAGATGGGCTCCATTCCCTGCACTCCGCATGGAGCTGCTATCCCTGGGATCCGTACAACTTTTCTTCTGAATCATTTTTTATTTCTACGAGAATGCAAGTTTTGGAGCTTAATGTACGTATCCGCGCACGTGCGTGTATGTAATATGGAAGTGAAATTAGTATAGAAACTTCAATTGTCATACTTCATGCCCAGATATGGTAAAGTGTATTATTTTCCACTGTTGTGGTTTTGTTTGGGAAGTTTGTTGGATATGAATCTTAAATTCATCTGTTTTGAGAATGGCTTCGAGGTATCACTGCAAATGATTAGTTTGTAACTTTGATGTAACATTTATACGAGTCATACTTACTTTCAGCAAAAACGATAAATCGCTGTAGATGAATGACTTGTAACCACTTCATTTCAATTAAAATTTTTTTTTTTTCTTTATCTAAAAGCTTAAATAGCTATCATGCACTTTTTTGTTTAAATTGAGTTATAAAAAGTAAATCTTAATCAATTTTGTACAAAAATCGTTCTCTTTAGTCTACTTAAAAGGATTTATTTAACGATAAGGTTATCAGGTATTTTAGTATATTGGAAATAGTTATACACAGCTGAAATTAGGTTGTATCATAAATAATTCTTAATTATGAATAAAATTCCTTATGGATAAAAATTTAAAAACTACAGTATACCTACTTGTTTGTTATCTAGCGATTTTCCAAGTTCCATAAAATTTTTAAGATTATTCTACTTGTTAAATTATAACTTAAATAGAAGTTAAGTCTCAGTGGTCCTACAGTGGTCTCACCAGAGCATAAGAGATCTCGACCTATTTTCCCGTCCTCTCCACGCTTATCCTATCCCCTTTAATGCTCTTTAACTTTTTTCCTCCCGCTCTTTAGTAAGCGAGACTACAATCTTTTTTTCTTTCTCTATATCTTTACACTTGTACTTTATTTTCTAGTGTCATGGCCCACCAGTTTTTAATTTGTGTTGTTGACATTTTTCATGCGATTTTATTCGAAATAAGACGTAATTTTTTAGTTTCATACTCCAGCAGACAAGGAATATTGGTATTCAGCGGGCATTTGTAATTTTCTTTTTCTCCCCTTTTCCATCTTATGTCTTACTTGGTAGGTGGTGATCATCATCACCACGATGTCACGCTTTTTTTTGCACATTCTTTTTTTTTTTCATTCCATGTACACAAAATTCTCAACACTATACACTTTTTTTTTATATGGTTTTTGTACTCAAAGGAATTACACTAACCTGTTGATTTTCCACGCAAAATAGATGCAAGGAGTCGTGAAGGCGGGCAAAAAGGCTAGCCAAATGAAGACTAGGTATACCATGTCCAAATGATACATTATGTCGTAAGTTTCCAGAATTCCTGGTCTCACTAATCTAAAAAATATTTGAAGATTTTATTTGTATTAGCTATAACTAATTTAATTAAAAAACGATACGCAATCTTAGTTTGGAAATTTATTCAAGAATTCGTGCATAAAATTTTAATGTTACTAGAAAACTCTGTCCTGATGATATTAATGTTTCATCTCATAGTACGCAGGATGGAAGCAATAATTGTAGCTTTTGCTTCCAAGGAATACATGGTTCTTGTAGTTGAAATTTTTATTAAAAAATAATGATAAATTTGTAAAAATCGAATTAATGTTGTCGATGTACGGTTAGGAAATTAATTAACAAAAAATTCAAAAAAGAAATAATTCAGTTGTTAGAGCTCTCGATCAATGTATTGAGAGTTAAAAAGATCGATAGGCGATGGGAGCAGGGAAGAAAGCAAAGACATTTGAGGATTAACTTAGCTATGTGAAATAAATGCACATGACAAACTAAACAACAGATAAATTTCGTGTCAAGTCTGCAGACTCAGCGTTATTGTAAATCTGAAAAAAAAACCTCGATGCTCGTATAAAAACGTATCATTGGATTGTATCTATAAAAAGAAGCGAAAATGGTATAGAGTAGTGCGTGAAAAATGCCAGTTGCAAGCATCGCGAGCAAAATGGAATGTAACTGGAAAGAGAAAGTATGCACATCGATGAGATTCAGAAGTATGCTGTGTGGTGGTTTAAAAGGTTTTTCTCGAATTTAAAGCGCTGACGTGGGTTTCGAGTATCGCATGGAATACCCAATGGAACCTTAAATATACCAAATTTTTTTTCCACCCCTTCTACTATTTTCTTCTGCATGGATTCACTCACTTATTTATACTTTACGAGAGTCTACGATAATATTTTTGTTTTGCTGCACAAACTCCACTATCGCAGAAAAGAACTTAGCACGATAACTTTTTGTTGATCCTAAATTTTTTTCGTCAAAAAGTCAAGAATCAAAGATAGAAAGACACAAAACAAAAGAAGATGTTTTAAGAAAAAAAAATTAATAGTAATTAAAACCAAAGGCTCACAATTCGTGCAAATGAGCGATGACTGTGAAACAGAGTTTGAAAAATTTTGTTCGCGACTTAATGTAACAGCTTAGATCATGCAGATTTAATAAGTGAAATATAAAAATTAATTATTAACAATTGTAAATTTTGTTCTTCATTCAAAGTCAAATAGCGCACGGAGCGTGCAGGAGGAGGAAATACTACTTGAATGTGTACAATCTATGCATATATTTACCTGAGTAACATTAGGGGTCCGAGACAAACAGCGAAAATGATTATAATGGCGAAGAGGTATCTTTGAGTTCTCGCTTCTTTGAATACACTGTACTCGCCATCGTGAAGATCGTAAGACGTCGATACTTTTGTAAAATCTACTACTCCATTTGCGCTTAAGCTTACGCTCTTTCTTTGAACTGGAACCCTAAATTTGCAAAAATTAAAATATCCATCGATTAAGGTGGTTCAGTACAGACTTCGAAGTCAAAGACGCAACTACAACCTAAGGTGATTTTTATTTCACTGCTACTTTAAATAAAATAGGCAAAATATTAAGAAAATGGTAGTTTTTTGTATCATGAGCGCAAAGTATGACTAACGGCTCCCAAGGATCCGAGTTCTGATCGACGTTTTTCTTAACAAGGGCACAAAGTTTTTATTCGTGAGAAGAAAATAAGTACATATTATGCGTTCTCATCGAAAACTCTTACTGCTATCCTCAAGTGGCTGTGTTAAGGAGATAATTTTAAGTAGTTTTTTCTTGTAATTTCGTTTGGAAACTTTATTTTAAATTTTACGTGTTGATGCATTTTTATTTAATAAACAACTTCGCAAAGTCTCATGGGTTTTCAATAACTTTGGATTAAGTACTGAACCATCTTAAACATTAAACTGATTTTATTATCTCTTATTTTTCTGTTTAAGTATGTCTAGGAGATTCATAAATCAAAGGAAAATGAAATTCCTCCAGTATCTATAGCTACGTCTAAAGATAATCAGTTCGTGTAAAGATAATCAATTTCATATTGATTAATTGCTAGTTTAAATAAATGCCTTACTTTTTGGTACAAATTTATATACTATGTTAATACTATTATGCGCTCACGCATGTCAATTACAGCTACAATTCATCAAAATAAGTAAAATCACGATTATCTCACTAGCTTTATTTTATTTAAAAAATCAACTTTACTCATAAAATTTTGTTTCTAATTAAAAAAAAAAATTTGTGAAGCAATATTAAATCCAAGCATCAATAATAATCGCAGCAGTATTTTAATAGACTGAAAATTAAAAAAATTATTACAAATGATACTCACGTAATGTCATTGCTACTGTTACTTTCTTTGGGAGATGACTTCGTCTCAGACTGTCGAGGATCGTAAGTAACAGATAGAGGTTCTTCTTGATTTTTTAATTCACGAGATGACTTTATGTACAGGTACGTGATCGTAGCTAAAGGTGCTATGTAACTGTTAAATATCATGAAAGTATTGTAGAANAGAAAAAAAAACAAAAGAAAATAAAATAATTTTCATCTTTTGTTGCATACAGCACAAATAAAAGATTATGCAGCAGTAATATGTTGTACTTTTCTTTTGTGTACATAATGTTAGACTTTTGAGTTCAAATACATCGAAGAAAATTCGTTAGTGACTCTATTAATCATGAAAAAGAGTTCTTGAAATAGTCATAATTTATTACTAAGCCATCTTAGTTAACTTCTTAAAAAAAATTATAGCTGTAAATAGGATAAATAAACTATGTTAGCTCGATGTTAAACGAGAGACTAGCCATTATTAAGATAAAGTATGTTAACCACCCATGAAACAATTAACTTTGTAACTTTGATATCTTTTTTGTTTCATAGGGGTTATTTATTATAGTTTTTTTTTACAATCGATCACAAATTAATGTATTTTTCTGTATGTATTTAATTTGTCACATACAACCAATCATTTACGGGGTCCATAAAATGAGTAACAGCGTTACTTTACGTTACAATACAAATGTCCAAAAAACTAGAGTAATATTGACAACAACGATTGTTAATAAAAATTTTTTATAGTATTCCTTTTTTTATTATACAAATGATTATAATGGCGAAGAGGTATCTTTGAGTTATATCACAAAACCTACAATCATACTTAATTATTTAAGGTACAAGGTAAATAGCCTCCTTCGGTTTTTTCTTGCAATAATATTTTAGCTTTGAANTGTATTTAATTTGTCACATACAACCAATCATTTACGGGGTCCATAAAATGAGTAACAGCGTTACTTTACGTTACAATACAAATGTCCAAAAAACTAGAGTAATATTGACAACAACGATTGTTAATAAAAATTTTTTATAGTATTCCTTTTTTTATTATACTGCATTTTCTAGAAGAATAACTTCATTAACGCCAGAAAGCCATAGCTCTACTATGAAATCAGAAATTCACAGTTAAAAGTTTTAACTAAGGGAAACATATCTCATCAACCGTATGCATACCTACAAATTACAATGCTGCAAGCAAAGGAAATGTAATACTCACGCTCCAATGAATAGACTTTTAACGTAGTCGTGTATGTCGTTCTCCAAGTTTGCCATACACAAGCTGGGGTATACCTGATTACTTTTCAGATCATTCCCATTTTCATTAAATTCTTTCTATTAGGAAAAAAAAGAAAGAAACCATAGCTTTAAATATTTTGAATTTGATCTAAATGTAATTTCTCTCTAATACTCTGACTATCTTTATAATAATTTATTATTACATACTTATGAATAAATTGACGAAAAAAAATTTTTTATCTCCATCAATAAGAGTACAAACCGAGTGATGAGATTTTCATGTCATCCTACAATGAGTGGTAATAATGTAAAGTATTTGTTTCTTGTTTCTTAAGGTAGAAATTCATTACACGAAAGCCTAGTATATTGTCACGCGAATGAAGCCTTTATTCGTTAAGTGATTTATCTGAATACATTACACGGTTTATTTGTCAGGTTTTCACGAAAGTCAGTTGCATTAGACTATGAAAATAATTAAAATAAAATAAGTTTACTGTATAGAAATGATCTGGGGTGTGACAATTTGATTTTTTTATCCGTTTAAAGTTGACAACTAGACACAAACTACATTGTAGTAAAGTTAAGGTGAAATAAAATTGTATGCAGTATCATAGTTTTAAGTTTGGAATATACTTACATCACACACGTTTCAAAAATAATTTTTTTAACAATTATACGTTTATTCGTAACAAAAATAATTTTTTTTAAATTTTCAATCAACTCAGAGTGGTATGGAAAACCGATAAAACGTCTGCATCGTGAAATTATTCATGCAATAATTGATGCTGTTTGCATGTTAAACATTTGTTTTTCTTATCTAATCAATTCCTTATTACGTAATATACTCAATGTAAAAAATTTTTTACCTGAAGATCCAAAAAAGTCGGATAAATAGGGTGTGGTAGGGCAATACAAATGGCAAAAAACCACGTTCCCACGGAGCAGATGAAAGCAGGTATTCGTGGTTTTCTTGGATCATCCAAAAACCTGTATCTATCGACGACAATCAGTAGAAACGTCATCATCAATACGTGTATTGAAATGTCCTGAAAAAATGTATTTGAATATTATTAAGTGAGCGAACCCAACACACAAATTAGATTATGATAGTTTAAAAATTTTTTTTATGAGCTGATCGTGTTTTTGAAATGTATTTTTTTTGTAGAGTCTATCGTTTTCAAAACAAATTATAATAATATAATAAAATAAGTGTCTTTTTCTGTATCTGACGAGAGTAATATCAATAATTTTCAACTATGAGATGATATCTTCTCTGTTAACTCCGGGTATTCATGAACAAATTTAAATTCACTTTTGATGGGTCGAAAAAATGAACAATCATCCGCGAAACGCTTGTTTTTCCAGTTAATTGGTGCCGCGCACATTCATCGCTGCGCGAAATCGATCGGGTCTTTAATAATATAGTTTCACTCATTATGTATCATTCGTATTTGACATGCGACGTTTTAATGTACTAATTATTTGATAAATAAATCATGCTTAAATGCTACGAGAAGGTAATTAGTGCTTTGACTGCGAGCTTCAGCTAGTTAAGATATATTTTTAATTTAAATTTAAAGCTTAGAGACGCGTCTCTTTTTCTCCAACCCTTTACCACTTTTCAATATTTCATAATTGGTAGAAAAGTAATCATTTTTCATGCAGTATTCTGATTCTCTTTTTATGCTTGATAAAAGAATTAATCGTTTGATGCTTCCACTAAGAACTGGTTCCGACAGAATTCTTTGCTTTTAGAAAATATGTTTCACTTTGATAGGTACTGATTTTCAGCTACTGATTAAGATTGCAAATACAATCAGCCGTAGTTAGTGGAACAGCTTTCTGCAGAAATATTTAAAAATTAATTCATACTTCAACCTTTGATCAAATTCACAAATTTATCATGCCAATCTCGAATTATTTCCACAGTCATTATGTTTTTGCATTTACTTGTTCACTTTCAAACATTTTATTAGTTAATTTGGATACTAAAAATACGAATTGGTTGAGGTTTTATCTTGCTGTGGACAAAAGCTGTATTACAGAAAAAACCTTGCAAAAGTTATCAATTAATGCTTATGTTGATAAACTTTGAAAAATCTAAATTTTTATGTGTATTTGATTATTGTACGTGCAAATATTGTATCTAAATATTGTATTGAAATATGTTTATTTCCAAACACAGAATTTTAAATACTTTGTTGATTGATCAACAACACTAAAAAGCAACATTAAAGTACATTTAATATTTAGAGATCTGGTTAGGAATAGTTTATAGCTTTATTACCCTACGTGATTCGCATTACACGTGGATTCCTTAAACTGCTCAAACCAATAGGAGCCATTCATTAATTATTGAAGGGTCTCAGGAGAGAGGGATGGTTCGAGAAATCTCCACGTGACCTTTTATTGGAAAGACAGGGTAAAAATGATTCTTATTGCCAGTCGATTTGATCTGGAAGAGCCTTTTCAACACAATCACTCACTCGATACGTCTTTCACACGCCACCATTATAGAGAGGGTAGAATAAAATATACGATTGTGGATAGTGTGGAAGATTCGTTGGCTTTCTACCAATTAATTTTACCATTTTTGGGACGGACGGGGAGAGATGTCGTCTCCTGCAACCAACGAAATACATGTTGGTAGAGTGAGGCGACGAGATTGACGATATGTGCACATAAATACGTAAAAACAAATTCTATGAGTTAAGAATAATTGAATAGTTTACTGCCTTTGGAAATATTTAGGAAGAAAGCCCAGTTACAAGAGCGTGCATCTTGAAATCCATTGTGAAACAATTGAAATGCATCCTTTTTGTAATAATATCTTTATCAGTTCTTGTAAAAATACGACTTTGTGTGATGCGTAGTTTATAGGCGTGTTTTGCAATGTAAAGTAATGGACATGTAAAAGCAAAGCTTTGTGAGAAGCAACTACAAGATATATTTTTTACTCCTGATTTAAAATTACATTAATAAATTTTCATCATAAAATTTTTAATTATTTTTATAATACTGTTTTGAAAATTTTTCGATCATTTTTACACTTTTCGACACTTATAAATAAACTCTTCTCGTATACCAACTTTATCACACGATTAATAAGAAATAAAGTAATCGTATTTCAAAGTAATATAAGTTTTGTGAGCTTGAAATCGGTATGATTAAATTACGATTTAAAATCCTTCAACTAAAAATAAATCCATACCATTTTTGGCTCACCATGCAATGCGAACAAATTGCGTACACACTTCTTTTCACAATATACGAGTGCTAGTTTGCATATAAATTACCACCGCTCGACGTCCTATTCTATTTTTTCACGAGTGATGCAATTCATTTTCATATACGTATGTTAAATTGCTACTATTTTAAAATCTTTATGTTTACATAATACTGAAGAATACATTTTTTTTTAATCGAAAAATCATAACATAAGAGAACTGGCATCCAAGCATGAATAAAAAAGTTGACAATTGGTCTTACAAGTCATTGAGATTTTTTAGATCCAGCCGCAGTAAATGAAGTACTATTGAACTTTTCATCGAGCAATCTTCTGTACATGTACGTTAAAGAGATAAAAGCGTGAACAAACTATTGATATCGCAATACCTCGTTAGACTGTATCACCGGAATATGAAGAGGTATTTTGCGCGCGTGTATTGATGCGTCAAATCTGCGAAGTCGCGTGGTCTAAAGAAAAATCATTTACTGCACACGCATTGTTGTGTGTCGAATATTTTGGTTCGAGTTTCTCGGTCAGTGGAGAAACATTTCGTTCAGCGCTCGCGAACCAAGCGGATTACGGCTTCGGCACAGATTTGTGCACATTTTTTACTGAAACGGCACAAGTACATATAGAAAATATATATGTTATTCTAGGACTCGGTAGCCGCCGATGACTTGCCCCGAAATATAGGTATACAGTGACGTGATAGCTTTAGCTACCACGTCACACTTTCCAGTTCTACATTTTCTGGATTTGTTTGGAATTTGGTGTGAATAACGTAAACGTTAAAAGTCGCACTCTCGAATGTCTATTTTGTTCCCCATATACTCAAAATTTTCAATCGTAGTGTAAAAAATATAATAAACCTGTACATGAAAAATTTACAGAACTGCATATGGTTTGTCATTTTTTTACAAAAAGCCACACGTAATTGTATCATTTCAGCAAGTTTTTTTTTTCAAATTCCAGAGCTTTTTAATGTTTTCAAAGCACGCACGTAATTGTATTATTCCATAAAGTTTTTTTTTTATAATGTAACGAGTATACAAAGGTAGAAAAAAGATACGTCAATAATCATATTATTTAACTTACGCACTATTTTTTCAACAAAACCTATGAGCGTCTGAGTATTGATCTTTCGAGGATGCAAAAGAAAAATTTTTTAAGTGATGTGAGAGAGTGCTCGACGCACAGATCTGGGCTTTATTCCAAATTTTTTCTGCTCCTACTTATAGGCACGATTATCGATGAAAAGTTTCACCAGGAAACATTGGTTTCGGGACCAAAACTGATTGTAGTCATTAATTTTTAGAACCGTCCACTTCACGTGGTACTGTGCTATTTCCATATTTTACATATCAGAGATTTTTACTTATTTCCTTTACTTTACTCAACAACAAAACTTTCCTGAAATTTTCAATTACCAAAAGGAATGGGATAAAAGTAAAAATGTGCTTGCTTAAAAATATTGAAAGAATACCAAGTAAGGTATGCAAAAATAATGTTTCGTTAATCAATTTAGCAACATAATTTATCTATTTCTAAAATAGTGTTTTTGTGATATAGAAATAAGTTAACAACTACGTGGTTTTTAAAATTCAAAAGTGAATCAAACCTACGTAATAAATATTAGTTAATAATTATTTATAAAAAAATTCAGTATGAAGCAAAAAACAAAAATTTTGAGCTATAGCTCTATTGGTTTTTTATTTCCCAAACACATTTGTTGGTTACGGCTGCTTTACAGAAATGTCTTGAATTTTTACGAAAAAAATAAATAGTTTAATTAGACTTAAATTGACTGTTTGGGATATGAAAAAAAATATTGATTCTCAAATGGCAGTTGTCTGAGTAAATAACGTTCTGCTTGTATTAACTTTGTGTATACGTAATCAAGTTTCCCGACCAACTTTAATTATATTAACCTAACGAGGCTCAAAATTAGTAGATAATTTTATATTTATTCAGATTGCAAAAATAACGTAAAATAATTTAAACATTGGGCCATGACAGTAACAAAACATCAGATTAAATATAAATATTGTACATCTTAGTATTTTTTAGCATGTGACACTTTTCTCCACAACGTTATCCTAATATTTTAAACGATAAAAGTCGTTTTTAATTAGTCCAAAAGGTATTCAATCATATTTAACATTTTTATTTGATATTTGAGAAAAGAACGTTGAATACACAAGTTGTAATTAATATACAAATACACAACTTTTTTGTATTGTTCATTTTATTTCACAATTTTATACCAGCGCTCTTAACAACAGGAATCACTTTAAATGTAAAAAAAAAAATCCTAATAACGTAACTTTTGTTCTGACAAAAAATGTTTCGGTCGTGTCTCACAGTAAAAGCATAGTATTTTTTAAAAATTGAGCTACTTGTTTTGAGTCTCTCGATAGCTTGGGTATGTCATAAACATCAGCAGATGTTGCAGCTGTGGTAATTTTATAGAAAACTTTCTGATATCGTAAGCGAGCTCTAAATAGTTGGATAACTTCTGAAAGTCCAGAACTGAGCGGGAAACAAATTTTCCGAACAGGGTATAAGAACAAGGGTTCGAAGTTTGCTTGGCTCAACAAAAGTTGTTTGAACTTACAGAAATTGTGCACTCCGTCCGTGGATCAAAGTTAGATTTTATTGAATGTCATTCTATAAAACGTACAAAATGCTCCGTTTTCTATTGAAATTATTCAAGGGTTATGACTCACGAGACTTGATAGTGCCATTCAAACTGGATTTTATTTTATTATACAGATCCTTTCGTGTGTTTTTTACTCAATGATTTAGTGATGTATAAAAATTAATATCAAATAGTTTTTCTTGCAAGTATATGATCCCCTACGGTTTTAAATAACAAATAATTTTCTGGAAGGGTTCATGCATGTGTTTCTTTTTGTTTCATGGTACCTTTTACTCTCAAAACTAACTTTTAGTGAACTCGATGGACAATTGAGTTCTAAACAATACAAATCATGTTTATTTGTGTATAAAACTAAAAACTTTTTTCTTGCTAATGGTTCTGGTGCTTTAATATCATTAGGAGCAGCTAAGGGTAAGTATTGGTTCTATGAAAGCCGAAGTTTGTAATTGGTCATCTCATTAAACTTGAACTAAAGCTTGTCAAGGGGTGGGCAGTAAATTTAATATCAAAACACCGAAATTTCTTACTTTAAGGTGTTTCCTATGGGAAATTAGATTCCACTACATTCTATTGTAATAAATTTACACGTAAGGTAACAGAAATGTGAAAAAAAAACGTAAATAACTATTTCCTATGGTGCAGGGTCTCCGCACGTGGCGAGAAGCCGATCCAACAAACTGCTTCTCAACTTTCTTCTGTTGCACGAAAAGACTCCAAGTTTGATACGCGTACTCTTGAAACGTGAAGGGGAAACGCAAACAAGAAAATTTTTTCAATTGATTTTTTTTTTTTTCAAGTTCTTCATATACTTTTGTTGTCTGAAGAGATTGAAAATTGCTTTTTCTGACCGAACATACATTATTTCTAATTTTAGACATATTTTATAGCAAACTAGAGCACTTGGGGAATATCCTTGAACTTTTTTTCAAGTGGTATTTCAGTTAAATCTTATTCAAATTTTTCATGATAGTTGATGTAGTGACCATATGAACAACCTCAAATACAATTTCACAGTAACTTCTGTATTAAATAGCCACATTCGTAAACACTCATGTTAAAAGTACTTAACAGTTAAACAGTTTCTTTAGTAACGTACATTAGTTGTGTGGACAACCCCACGTGCGCCCCACCAGCAAAATAAATCGAAAATAATGAACAAACCTGTAGCATCGGCAGAAAGTAGCACATGAATTTTCCAAATATCCAATTGTACAGCAGCAAGTTGATGACGGTGATGGGCAGAGGGACGGCGACGTGGAGCACATTGGCCAAGGCGGCGTTCACGAGAAAGCCGCAGGTCGATTTGTCAGAGTGGCCGTACCTGAACACGTGGTACACCATGCTGATATTGGCGACCAGACTGAAGACGATGAGCACCGCGTAGACGCCGATCACATAGGGCCAACTGCTGTCGAAGGAAGGTTTCAAGTGTGGCCTTGTGAAATCGACGGTGTCGTTGCGAAAGCCGTTCAGATACTCGACTATCGTGTGGTAATAAAGATCGGCGTTTGTCGTGTTTTGCTGTGACATCTTCGGGATCAGAACGGAGCGCGGGAAAGACGATACGAACGGAGAGAAACCGGAGAGCTGTCCCCCGTACTATTCTGTAGCGTCAACAGGAGAGTGCTGGATATATAGTGCGAGGCGGGAAGCGAGAGACGGCCGGTCGTATGTGCGCCTCGCCTCTAACTGGGAAATACGACCAAAGTTGTTCCATTGTCTTAGTGGCAATAAAAACAGAGCGCCCCGCTGATTTTTTGTTGCTGCTTTCAGTTGGGCTCAGCTGCAACTGAAACAATAGTGCTTTTATTGTTTATTTGTTAGTCAGGCAGGTGGTTGTTGGTCTTGGGGTAGCATGTACGCGTGTTAGCTGCTCTATGATGATCCGACGTGTACTGAGACTTTGTTTTTTTGTGTACGGCTTTGAAACTGATTTTATTTTCCTCAAAAATCTTGGGTGGTAAATGGGAAAATCGCAGTCATCCTGAATATAGTTGACATAAAACTCTTTTTTGTATTTTTCAAACAGATGGGAGATTTAAAAAAATGTTTTTTTTTCTGTATATTGAAAATGGAGAGCTACATCTATTGAAAAATGGTCGAGTACTGAAAACGTATAAAATAGAGTGCCTTAAAACTGCTTCCAAACGAGAATTTTTTGAGACTAAAAACAATGTTAGGTAAAAAAAAATGGTTACAGGCGTTTACAGGCGTTCAATAGCTATGTCTCGTGGATGTTGATGAAAAAGCTTGAAAAGGTAACTCGTTTCGCATGTAACTTCTCATCCGAGAATTTTTTTTTCGACTCAACGTTAGAGAGCTTTTTACATATTTCATTTAACGAGCGTCCATTTTTTCCACTAGCGTCCAACTAGACCCTGTACTTCGGAAAGTGAATTAAAAATGAACCAACGCTTCTTGTACAAAAAAATTAGTCGCAAGAAAGGCATGTCACCAATTGTTTTTATAATAATTTTTCGATCAACTATATTGAATGACAAAAAATATAAATATAGACCCAAAAGCTTATCCTAAACTTAATTTTAATTTATATCAATTTATTTTATTTTAATATAATTTATTTTGATTTAATTTATGTGAATAAAATTTATTTTACTCCAATTTATTTCTAAACTAACTTCGTCACTGATAATTTTTCATGTAATTATTTTTGTACTATTTTGATAAAGGTATACGGATACAATCAATGGTATTGCACAGTCTAGCTCATTGAATATCAATGTCACAGCTAATTTCAACATGTATGTATACAATCGGTACGCTGCAAACTATCCGTCTGACCGAACGTTGACTCACACTACTTATTTTCTTCACTTTGTCTCTTTTTAGCTCCCGCCGAGTTTGTTTGTACTACCGAGTCGTTTGTTAAGTGGATTCCCTTGGAGTGACATGCGTCGCTTCCTTTTCTCTGCCCGTTTTTCTGAACTTGTTTCTTTTTTTTACGGCACCTTTTATTTTCTGTGTCATTTGTTATGTTCACACAGTCAGATTAAATGACGAATTCATCATATACCACACCTATCGCTGGTTTTTTTCGTGACAAAGGAATCTTTTATAGTTTGATCTGAAGAACTTAACTAAATGACTAAATATTTATTACATTAAAATGTAGAGTGTTTAAAGCATGGCACTGGATACATTTATTAAATACCTTCAAGTTTAAATAGACAAAATTTCTAAGTTTATTTNATCATAAAATTAATTAGAAATAGAAACTTATGTAATTCTAAAGAGAGTTAAAACAAACACGAAACCTTATTATTTGTAAATTAAGATGTTGAATAAAACTAATCGTCGTCTTACACCGAGTACAATATTGTTTGACTAAGATGTATCTCACACGTCTTGTTAGAACCTTGAACTTCATAGGAGAACTTCTTTTATATTACGTCAAAAACCAACTGCTTGACAGTAATTTACGTAGAATTACAATTTATTCACAAATGTTACAAAACTGAATTATCTATCAAGGAACTATGTTGATCTGCAATTGACGTTTGAAAAATTTTCAGATTTACTTGGTCATCAACAAAATAAATGAAAAAAAATCTACGAGTCTCTTAATCGTAAGTAAATGTGGTTGAATACCGAAGGTATATATTTTTTTTTTTTAATTGGCTTGAATGATAGCAGCAATTTCTCAAATCGAGTGATTGCTCGATCTACTTTACAAATTAATTAATTATTAAAACTGGATAGTCTATTTTCAAGGTGTATATCGTTATAATTTTTAATTTAAGGAAAAAATATCTTGAGAACTTAGTCTGCAAAAATTTATTTATTTGTTTTTCTGTAGAAACAATACCTTATTTAATGAAATGATTAATAAATTATCAATAAATAAACTATTATTTCTGCGGTGCTATAACGATACAAAAAAATGTTTTATCAATGGATGAATACAATTGGTGAAAAGTTTAGTTTCTCTAAGTATTCTCTCAGAAATAGGAAAAATATAGTAATTCAACTAAATACCAGTCGATTAACTATCAACTACTTACTGTTATAAATACTGTTTGTTTTGAATCTTAAGTCCAAAATCACTGTTGATAAATCGTTAATGAATTACAAGTAATAATTTATATCAGTATATGATTCTACGTTCTGTTCTTTCTCTTTATCTATTTTATGGAACAACGAAACAGAAAACCAAAATCATAAAATTAATTAGAAATAGAAACTTATGTAATTCTAAAGAGAGTTAAAACAAACACGAAACCTTATTATTTGTAAATTAAGATGTTGAATAAAACTAATCGTCGTCTTACACCGAGTACAATATTGTTTGACTAAGATGTATCTCACACGTCTTGTTAGAACCTTGAACTTCATACATGGACTCTTGAGTGATGAGAAGAAATGTTAAAATAATAAAAATTAATTTTCTTAAAATATAGACATTGGATAATAAAACCGTAACTCTCTACACTACACTCTCATATTAAAACATCTCTAAAATTTCTGACACAATTTTACCAACAATTTACGGGATGCTCCGGTACGTAAATAAAAATGAATTGATACGTTTTTTGAGATAATTATATCGTTTTGTCACTAACTAAACGTACTCAAGATACATAATCAGGTATAAACTATAAATATACAGAATGACAAACCTGTTGGATTAAATTTTACTAGTTTCATAAAAGTGCACTCAAGTAGATAATAAAACAAATAAACTTCCGGAAATTAATTAATTTTCTTGTAAACTGTCTTGATCAGTAAAAAATATCAACAGTTCCTCCTTCCCGATAATCAATGTAATAGCACAAATATATGTAATAAGCTAATCACATAGTATGGACAACTATGATTACCGACATCGTACGAACAGTGCTCGTAGGGTAGCGGACAACCGGTGACTGATAGCATCGTGCGTTTGCCGCTTGGACCAGAGCGCGTATAAACCCCTTTTGGAAGCTGTGTTTTCTGCGCAAGTCGTGCTTTTACTGCTCAACATCTGCTTACTCATAGAGTGCTCCGCCTAGTGATGGACATTTTTTGGAGCTTTTCGTGTCTTCGAAGCATTTGATCTAAGTGATTTTAATTACTTGCATATTTATATTAAAAATTTGATGAGGGAAAACTTAATGTACACGTTCGCAGTGGATAGGTGTGTGTAAACTTTTGTATTATTTTATCATAACGTGATTGAGAAATATCGGCGATTTTCTTGTTCTTCAATCCACTTCATTGTACTTTTACATATTATTATTGTATGAAAACTAATTAATTAACGAGTTAATTAGTACTTAGAGAAAATTTTTCTATTGACCTACTTGTGTTAAATAATAGAAGTATTATCTAATTTGAAAATAAGACAATTATTTTCTCTAAACTAAATGGTACAAATATTTAAAAAATTTACTACTACTAATATTAAAGAAAAAAATTAAATTAAATTCTAACATAAACGTATACCTTAGTTACTTAACAAATTTTTTGAAAAGTAAAAAGTTTCTTAAAATTAAACTATATCATGTGTATTTTTTGGCTTTTCCGTACAATTGTATTTTATTTATGACATAACACTCAACAGGTGTAATCAATTTTTAACACAAAAAAGGCAAAAAAAAAAAAAAAGAATTGACTAGAATACAAAAAGGAAACAACTTAATGTTTTGAGTACCATATGAAGAAGTCCAAATAACTTAAATTTTGAAAAAGAAGAATGAACTAAGAGATGAAATGTAATACAAAATTTTATAAGTATTTTGTTAAAACGTATCATGTGTCTGGTATATTACTTTTTATTTACTTGATCTGTATTTACCATCAAAGTTACTCTATATTTTCAGGTATGCAATTGGGAGTTTCCGAATTCCCTCCTTTCACTTTCTGGAATCCGTACCAATATAAATTTTCATTCAACCCTAAAATTTCTTAAAACTCGTAAATAATATTAAAAAATTCTAATACCCAAAAATTATAAAAAAAACTCTTTCCTAACGTACTTGTATTAAAAGAATAGTTAACAATTTTTAACAACAAAAATTGTATATCAATGAAATGGATTACGTTAAAAATTTTACATATATTTTAAGTAAGCTTAATGCAAAACTATTTTTCATTTTAAAATAAAATATTAAATCTCTAGATACTGT